AATATCATAATAACAATATATATATGGAGCTTCTTAAAAAGTATTTTCGACATGTGTTATTTTTATTTTTCAATCAGAAGAAAACAGCGGCTGAAAGTCAAAGAATTGTGAAAGAAACTTATAATAATGTTGTTACTCATCACTTAAGACACATGTGAATATTTATTCTATCGATTCAAAAATGATGATTTCAATTAACAATAAAAGCTGGAAAATGCAGATTTACAAGCATTATTGGACGAAAATCCAGCACAATCCACTTTAGAATTGCCAGAGAATTAAATGTTGATCGTAACAGTTATTAAATATTTACGTAATATCTTGTTTAAATAAATCAGTTTTTGAGAAAAAAACCCTTAAAATTATTGTAAATCACATTCCTAATATTTAAAAAAAAATCCGATTTGTATAATCACGTTCATAAAATAATACTGTTTATTAATTTTAATTTTTTTATAGATATAAGCTCCTTACATTTACAATCATTTTCTTAACTTTATCTTGTAACACAAAACAGAAACACTAGAACTTGCTCTACTTGCAATTATTATGTTATCAAAAATTGAGAGGTCTGTTTATAATTACTTTGAGTGTAATTAAAATTTATAACTATGTACTTATCAGTCATAGTTAATGAAACAATAACTTTTATGGATACTCTTAGTAATGTACATATAAGGTCGAGCTATATATCCCAACGTGCAATCACACATGCAATTATATACATAACTAATTTTCTATTTTGTTTTCAAAAACTGTTCATTGAGTTTAAAATTAAAAATAAAAATAATAAAATAGAAAAATTTTTGTAAAGAAATGTATAATTATATAATATAAAGAAAAATGAACATAAAATTAATATTTATTAATATTCGACAATCATTTCGAGTGATTGAATGAAAATTATTTTGAATAAAATGAATTCAATTATAATTAATAGAAATTAATCATCAACATACGACAAAGATAAATCATCGTCAAGAGAAAAGAAATGAAGATTTTCAGACGTAATTGAAATTTTTCGGAGAGAATAATATTTAAAATTTAATGATCGAATAATTTACCATTCAAATTTTGAATTTTTATATTATATAAAACTTTTAAATCTGTCCTAAACTCTTTTTTTTTCAAATTACAAAAATATTAAAAATGTTTTAGCAGTTTGTAGCTGTATCTTTTTTTTAATAATACCATAAGTATGATCTAAAAGTGATGTATCTAAATATTATTTATAATACTAAACTTAACTGTAATCCATATAAAATCATCACATACACAGTAACATTGCAGAAAATTATGTCTTAATATTCCAAAAACGTGCAAAAATAATATGCTATATAAAAATATGCAAAAATGATAATTAAATAATCTAGAAACGCAGCCATACATATCCAGTTTATACGCATATATTATATCAATGATAAAGAAAAGTCTTGTTCCGTTTTAATTTAATTCTGGTAAACTGTGCATTGTGTACTGATCTAGTCGTCTCTCGTCACACGTCGGAGAAACGCGCGTGCTCCGTTATCGACCAGAAACTCCAATCCTCCTCCACGTCTCATCACTTCTCGCCCAGTCTCGATCCGCCGCGGCGTCCGAACGCACTCTCGGCTGAATCCCAGCTCGCCGGGGCGCGGCAACGCCTGCCGAAGCATCCCCGAGGATCGGCCGTTGAACGTGAATACTTCTTATGTGCTCCGATGACAGACCGAATATCGGCGCAAAGATGACGAGGGAGAGACTGACGGATCGGTAGCTAAACATTAATCTGTATATTTTCCCAAAAAAGATGAGAAATTCACATTCTATCGATATTTGTGTTTATATCCGCGATCTCTTCAAAAGATCGGATTCAGCATGGCAATAAATGTGGCTAAGGTATTATTGTCGACGGTATTAATTAAGGAAATAATTAGATATTAGAAGTATAACGACGGTGCTTCACCGTTGCAACTTAAAATTGCTCTATAAGAAGATTTTGAAGATTCTATCCGAGTGTTGTTACTGAAAAAATATTACTGAATGCATCACGTTCAAGCATTTCGCGCGTTATATCTGCGAAATCATAATAGATATCTAAAAACAGCTGTTTGAGAGTTTCATCTCTTCAAGTTCACATGCGCAAGGACACAGGATTTGACCAAATGTACGTACATCTTACCTTAGGTTTCGCCTGTTGAGAATCTTGATATTACATGTGATTTATATACTCTAAGAGATTAATAATAAATAAAATTAGTCTCTAAAATTTGCAATATTTTGATAAGTTTTTTGTTTTCAAATAAAAAAAAATTTTTTTAATATTTATAGATAACTAAAATAAAGAATCTCAAGAAGAGACTTTATAAAGATGGTTTTTTTATTTGCTCAAAATTCAAAGTTGAATTTATTATTATATAATAATTAAAGAAAATAAAACTCTGAAAAATCAAATATTTATTTTACATCCAAATAAAATATTTAAAATCACAAATAAAATTATATTTAATTATAATTACCAGGGATGCACCGAATCTCGGATATCTAGCGTCAAATTCTTTTCGGATATCCAATATCTGGTCGGATATCCGGTAGGGCAATTATCCGATCGGATACCGGAAATTTCCCCGGATATCCTGTCGAATATCTGGAAAAAGAGCTTCCAAGAAGAAAACTTCAAAGAAAAAAGATAAAAATGATGATAATAATTTTTTTTATCTTTTCAAACGTGATAGAAAAAAAAGGAAAAAAAAAGAAAGAAATGACCTGTACAAAAACTTCAGCTGAAAAGAATAGAATTTTGTATTAATAATGCAAACTATCAATATAAAATTTCAATTAAATATATATTATCGGATACTAATAATATTCGGTCAGAGAGTGAAAAAGTGCCGGATAATGTCAGATATCCGATACTTACTTAATAATTATTAGATCGACGAGAAAAAACAATTAAGAAAAATAAATTAATTTTTGGTTAAAAGAGGAGTTAATATTTAATTATTGTATATTTTAGAGTGAAGTTATATACATATCCAAAATTATATTTTTTATTATTTATGAATATTTTTATACAAATATTTCAATACAGAATTGATTTTAACCTTAATAAAACTTTGTTTTAAAATGCAATTGTTTTCACTTTTTAATTTTTATTTTATTTTTATATTCTTCACTATTTTAATCTTAATTTTTAATTAATTTAAAATTAAAATCAAATGTTAAAAAATTAAAATAATAATAAAGTAAATATTAAAAAATAAGAAGTCTAATAATTAATTGAATTAAAATCTTCTCTTTTCAGTGTATTTAAAATTAAATAAAAATGTCAGATTATATTATTTGTTTTTATACTATGATGTTAAAAAAATTTATTCTGAATTAATTAAAAAATTCGTAAACAAAATATTTTAATTATTTCATGAAATATTATTTATGTATCGAGAAGTATTAATATTCATACAACAATATTAATCCTCATACAACATACCTTATTTGAAGGAAGTCACATAAACATCACGATATTTATACAATATTGTCCATATATTGTGATGTTTATGTGATATCCCTTGAATGACATGTGCTATATGGATAATTTTATCTTTTGTTATAGAAGAGAAAAAGCAAGAATATTTATCTATATAGCTATACTGATAATGTTCTAGGAATACAATCGATGGATGCACCTGCTCTGGGAATGTATACGTTATTAAATATACAACCGCAAATAGATCTAGGAAGAACAAAATGAGCAGAAGTTTGAATGGGATGGAAAAGAGACAGAAAAGATAATGCTAAGGCTCTATCCATTAGATTATCGCGTAGATACGCCACAATTATTATTATTGAGAAGAGCTTAAGGCAAATAGTTATTAATATAAATGCGGAAAAGGCTCCGTTCCACTTGCTTGATAGAACTCAAACAGGCCTCATCTAGATTATGTGTGACCAGTCATTTTTTTATTATACATATCGATGAAAAAGTATGACAATATGTATAGAACATCAACATCTATAGAAAAAAACAGTTCACAGGCTGGCGATAAAAAAATAGATATAAAAACTTAAGATCGAAGAAATTAAAAAAAAGTCAAGATCAAACAGTGTGTCAAGCAAACATAAATTGGTTCGAATAATAAACAAGAGTCAACTAATATCTCGGAAGAGCAGTTTGTTGCTTGTAAAAGTTATCGTTTAATATACGTGTGGAATCGAAAAATAGGAATAAATCGTGGCGATTAGATCGAAACGCCCCTTAAATGAGTAACGATATATTATTTATGTATGCCGACAAAATAGCAGCGATGCTCCATAATCAACGTTCTAGAAGTCTTCCAGGTCCGTGCACGGCCACTAAATTAATCACAAAATGTCAATGAGAAGATAAATCGCACTCAAAATCTCATAATTCTTCATCTCTCGTAATCGTCGTTACGAAATTCATGGACCACACGAACATATCGCAGCTTGATAAAGAAAATGTGAGTCTAATGAAAAGAAGAGAAACAACGAAAGAAGAGACACTTTTTGCCAATTCTCAGCTCATTTCGATAGACAATCATTAAGAGAGTAGAACCTGATTCGATGCAGAATACATATGTTTGCGTATTTTGAATTTTTTGGTATGCATGCTACGCTACGGGCTAATTGCTATAAATATAAATTGCGAAACATTTGACGTTATTCATGCGCTTTTCATTGCGAATTAAGATGTTCATGAACTTTGCAATGAGTAATCGTATCTATGGGAAGATACGATGTACATAATAAAAAAAGAAACTCTCTTGATCATTGCAAAGAATGATGGAAAATAGAAGGACCAAGACTGCTCAATTTAATTCTATCTTCTAAGCTGCCGTTCTTTGTGAAAAAATTTCAACACAATAATGGCAAACAAAGATGTAACATAATAATATAATTAATAATATATTTCTTTTATATTATAAATGAGAAATACGGAATCTAAATTTTAATCTACGAGTTCTAATTTATGAGATAATTAATGAGATAAATGTCTAAACCACAAGTGATATCGATATTCTGTTATCGTTGTCAAAGGCATTGAACATAATGTATATACTGATTGTACAATTCTATCTTACACATACAAAAGTATTTGATGCATGCAACCGCTCTGTTATGCGTGATCATCACTCTCTTGAAGAGGTAAAATAAATATTCCGTTTTTTTCCTGCCAAAAAACATATTCTTTTGACATTCATAAATATATTCTGTACATAATTTTTTTTTTTTTCATGGCGAGCAATGATTGGATCTTGTTAACTATATTCTTCTTTATGTATATCGATAAATTCGAATAAATTAAGTTATTCAAAACATTTTTTTTTAAAGCATCATAAATCAAAATCAATTAGAGTATTAATTAATTTTTGCAAAAAACAAAGAAATATGATAATAAATTTTTTTGTTGATCAATTTTTTATCAGTCAATTTCATCGCACTTTAAAATTATTTATTAAGCTAATCTTTTGATGCACATTATCAAATTACATGACTTTAAGGTTTGTATTCATAGTAATTATTCAACCTGAAATCCGATTTAAACTAGGTTTAAATTAATCTTTTATTTGAAAAATGCGATTCTCAAACAACAATTTAAATTGATTCAAATCTAGCTTACTAGCTTGTCTGACCAAATCGTAAACCGATTTATAAATAGAACCATACAATCTTCAGTGTAATAAAAACCATTTCTTTTTTTTCTTTGATATAGGCACTGTTTCGCGGCGGCAAAAAAGCTGTTGACGATGAGTGTGAATCTACCACGGCATTAATCAAAACTAAAATACAAAAGGGAGGTGTGCGACTACGAAGGTGGCTAATTGCGCTACTGCTATTTCTATTAACATCGCTTCTTATTATCAACAGTTACAATACCGGTCAATTTCGGATCACCCGATTCGGAGAAATGGCCAAACCAACTATTCAAGATGCAATAACCCGTGAGTATTAAATCATTATTTAATCATTATTTAATTTTAAATCATTTTATTTAATATGAGGGTAATTCAAATACTTATTGTTAGAACTTTATGTTGCGGCAGAAATATATCAATATACATATACAAGTGTAATGAATGTAACAATATGTAGGTATGTAAAAACTATCTCTTTAACAAAATTTTAATATTTAAAAAAATACTTCATTTTTCTCTTAATACTAATATTAAAAATGATTCATTAACTGATCGTTTAGTATGTGTTTATAAAAAATAAATACTAAATTCCATTACAGTGTACTTTTAAAAAGCTTTTACAATTGTTAAATAAACTAACATATTATAATTGTAAAACTATTTGGAAAATAAAACACTATCCAAGGCCTACATGTGTAAACGGTACAAAATTTTCTCACAATCTTGATGATCGTAAAGACGCTTTAAAAAAATGTTTTTTAATTTAGCATACACGAGATAATTTGCGCATGGTAGATATGATATTATTGCCGTAAAATTTTATGAAATCAATATAACAGCGCTAATGAAATGTCTAGAATTAATATGAATAATGTTTAATCAAAAGTAAAAACATAAAAGTATGTTCTTTGCTTAATTTCAAAAAATAACAAATAACAAATAGTATAGGACTCTTAATTTTTTAAAAGACAATACAAAAAAGTGTAGGGCATATAAGAGTCAACGTAATTAATTATAAATGCAAGAACTAAAATATGATATATAAAATGTAAAAAAAAATTCTATATATAACACATTATAAAACACATTACATAATCACAGAATTATATGTATGTCTTACAATTAAGTAACTAAAAACTTTAAAATTAAAATGTAACAGCTATTTAAAACTAAACGAAGAAATAAAATTTTATTTATTTTTATCTTTAAAATTTAATTTTTATTTTCAATCGTTTATAATTAAAAAAATATTAGTGTATTGAATATTTTTAAGAAAAAAATAATTTTTTGAAATCAATACAAAGAAACATATAAACCCTATCAACGTAATTAATTATAAATGCAAGAACTATAATATGATATATAAAATGTATAAAAAAAAATTCTATAAATAACATATTGTAAAACACATTACACAACAAGCTCTTGGATTAAGCCATCCTCAGATAAAACAAATTCATCGTCCAGACAAATCATGATAAAAGTTATTCAATTTATACAGCGATATTGATGAATGCCTTATGGAGACCATGAACTTGCAAGCGATTTATTGATCGATTGTTAGGAATTTCATGATATTTTAATTAAAGAAACATATTTGTTAACCAATAAATAAAAATAAAATGAAAATCTAAATAAAATAAAAATTTATTAAAATGTTATCTACTTTTAAAATTCTGTAAAAACCAAACAAAAATATCACCTCAATAAAACACTTACCAATGTGAGTTTATCGCAGTTGTCATTTCTTAAGAAAAAATAGTTCGTCAAATTTATCATATCATAAAATCATGTAAAATATAAAAGGTAGTATATCAGTCAAATAATAATAATACGTAATACACAGTTACTATATTAAAACTTGATAATCAGTATAGATCGAATTTTTCAGACAGATTTTTACATTAATAAAGTAAATGAAATGCTTGGTGACATAGATAAATATGAAATAATAAAAAAGAGATCCTTGTAAAAAATGACAATATTTCTCAGAATTATGCTTACAAGATGGAGGACTTGCAAAAATATTAATGAAGCTCAATATAGACATTTATATTGCAGTGATGGGTTGCTTCCGAAGATCTATGCAGTGTCGAAGATTCACAAACTGAATTGTCCATTCAGGATCATAATGTCTTCAATAGAAAGTCCGTTATATTCCTTAATCTCATTTTTATATTCCTTAGCCTTATACACAACATCGCGTTTGAAACTATTCCTAAAGCTGAGAGTTATATAAAAAATAGTTTTCAGCTTGTTAAAGATCTAAAGGGATGAGAATTGACAATAATTACAAATTCATCTTATTGAATGTAGTTTCTCTCTTTACTAACATTCCATTCCAGACATGGCTATCGATTGTGTAAATGAATTGGAATTTCATCTTAAAAAAATATGACTTACCCAAGACGGAGTTCTTGATAGCGGTTTGGTTTATTCTAGATTCATATTTTACATTTAATAATACCATCTATAAACAAAATTTCGCCCATGGATTCTCCGGTGTCATTACAAACTTAGTGATACAAAAATTAGAGAGAATGTTTATTATCTTACAATTAGTTGTTTTTTTATTATCGTTATGTTGACGATCTAGTTGCTGCTGTTCCTTCTTCTAAAATCAATTCGTTTTTCGAAAGTTTTAATTCGTTACATTCACATCTACAATTCATATTAGAAGTAGACTTTGACTTACTAAATTTGACATTATGATCACGGTCAAAAAAAAAAATTTAATCTTCGCGATTGGTGTCAAAAACCGACTTTTTGAGGGAGATTTTTAAATTATTTTTCAAATTTTTATCTCCCAAAAGAAGGGTATAATTTTTGGTTTGTAGACAAGATTTTATTATTATCTGACTCTGAATTATAAGAATCTTAATTGTTAATATATTAATAGAGAATGATTATCCCCTTAAATTCATTTTTTTGACACAATCAATATTAAAGTCAGAAGTATTCAGCGTGGAGGAAGACAGTAGTACGTGATTGCTCGAACAATAGTGATAAGTGACAATAGTGACAAGAAATATTACATTATGGTTTACTATGCCCTTTGTTCCATCGATAACAGAGAAATTCAAAAAATTTAATAGAGAGGATATTAAAGTTTTATTATAGCTCTAATAAATTGAGTAAGTTTATTAAGGTACAAAGGGATTCTCATTCAAATTGGTTCAAAGAACAATGTAGTCTACAAGATCATTGTGATCTTCTACAAGGATTATGATGCATATGTCGGACAAACTTAAAACCAGAATTACAGAACATCATAATCATATTCGTTGGAATACATCTACTCGATCTATAATCACCGAACATAGACTGCAGACACATGATTTTGACTGGAATAACATCCAGATACTAAATGAAGAGTCATGTTATAATAAATGCTTAATTTCTGAAATGTTAAATATTAAAAAACAAAAAAACAGTCTTAATTTCCAAACAGACACCTTCACAAAGCAAATACATCGATTATAAAGAAAATTTGATATTGTTCTATTTTATCAATTAATTGCAGTTCAAATAGTGACCGTCAGTCTTATCGACATACATACATACATATCTTTTAAAAAATTCTGTCTGGAAAATTCTGTACTGATTATCAAGTTTTAATATAGTGACTGTGTATTACGTATTATTACTATCTGACTGATATATTACCTCGTATATTTTACATGATTTTATGATGAATACATGATTTGACGAACTATTTCTTCTTAAGAAATGATAACTGCGATCACGTTGATGTTTTATTGAAATGTTTTTGCTTGGTTACAGAATTTTAAAAGTAGATAACATTTTAACAGATTTTTATTTTATTCAGATTTTAATTTTATTTTTTATTTTTATTTATTGGTTAACAAATGTGTTTCTTTAATTAAAATATCATGAAATTCCGAACAATCGGTCAGTAAATCGCTCGCAAGTAATTCATGATCTCCGTAAGGCATTCATCAATATCGCTGTATAAATTGGATAATTTTTATCACGATTTGTCTATAACGATGGGAATGAATTTTAAGGTTGTGAATTTTGTTTTATCTCAGGATAGCTCAATCCAAGAGATGAACATGTTGTGTAATGTGTTTTACAATGTGTTATTTATAGAATTTTTTTAATACATTTTATATATCATATTATAATTCTTACATTTATAATTAATTACGTTGATAAGGCTTATATGTTCTATACTTCTTTGTATTGCTTTCAAAAATTTTTTTTTTTTCTTAAAAATATTCACTAATACACTAATATTTTTTTAATTATAAACGATTGAAAATAAAAATTAAACTTTAAAGATAAAGATAAATAAAACTTTATTTCTTCGTTTAATTTTAAATAGCTGTTACATTTTAATGTAATTTTAAAGTTTAGTTACTAATTGTAAGACGTACATATAATTCTGTGATGATAATTAATAAATCGTGAAAAAATATAGTAATGATACAAAAAATAATCTTTTATACTCAACATACAAATCTTTCATGATAAATTATTATAACAATATAAATTTTGTTTATATTCCATTTGATCTTGTTTATATTCATTCTCGTATATTTTCGTACTTATTTTAATTATTATTTTGTATCTATTTTAATTGTTAATTCGTAAATTTTACAGAGGAATACATATCGACAACATCAAATATATACATGCCAATAAGCAATGGTGGCTTTCTAGTTCGCAACAAAGGATGTCGGTTACCGGCAATGGATCCTTTAGATCTTGTAGTTCGACGTTTCATAACAAAAGATATGTTCGAATGCGAGTACGGAAATTTTCCACCATTAATTGAATCGAACAATACCGCGCTATTCATTAATCCGCTAACGTGGAACGAATTTCATAACAGTCCGGGCGGTATAAGCTGCTGCTGGCGACCATTTTGGCGAACGAAAGATAATGACAATGCTGTCACGTTAGTATTATAAAAAATTTTTAATAAAAATTATATAAGTATATATATATTATCACGGTTGGGTAAGTTAATATTTTCTTTACTAACTAAATTAAATTGAATGAACAAAATACTAACTCAATTAAAGTTAAGAATTAATGTTATTGAATTGACTAAAAATTAAATAAAGAGACTAAAAATTATACTTTAAATAACAAAACAATTACAATAAACATTCATCATAAATTTAATATTTTAACATTTTAGTTATTTATTAAATTAAATTTAATATTTTAGTTATAAATTATGTAAAATAACAAAAATATCTGTTGTACAATAAAAAAACTGAATTTTTATATTCTACATAGATATTTTCATA